TCATGGTAGGTGGAAAGTCTTATTAATTAATTTACAGATAGTTGTCTTGATAGTTTCTAAACGATATAAACAGAGAACAAAAGTGTCAAAAAATGAAAACAGGCGTAAAGGAGCATTTTGGCTTTATAGTGTTTTCTAAAATAATGTCTGTTCTTAGGAATGACACCTGGCGGTTCAAAACACATTTGTCTCATTTGACCTAACAGGCTCAAATCACACCACAGTGTCATTTGGCTCAAATCACAGAACTGTCGTTTCATGACATGAAAATGTCTCATTTTTGCCCAATCCACTTGAAAGGTGTCTTGATAGTTTCTAAACGATATAAACATGAATGTCTGAGATTTGTAACGATGACACCTGGCTCAAAACACATTTGTCAAAGGTGTTGCAGATTTAGTGTCATTTTTCGTGTTGAACGGATTTTTAATTTCAGCCTTGATGGTAGATTTTCAGTTACATAAGTTCTTTGACTTCCTGTGTCAAACAGCATCCTGACTGGAATCGAAATTTTGCCTGTTTCATCAAGTGCCACAGCTCGTGCTGTTTGTAAAAGCACAATGTGGGTTGTACATTCGCATTGATCGTAGTCATCGTCACGCACATTGTCATACTGCTTGTTTCGCTGCTTGCAGATTCATCAGTCATTGATAAATTTACCTTTGTGTGAGCTTGATCACATATGGATTGATGATGGCGTTTCTTGCAGTGCCTGCAATTCTTCTCACTCGTACACTGACTTGTTGTTGCCCTTTTGTAGACAATTGAAGCATCAGTTGCTGCTTGCAGGAATCTTCTTTGAGCTTTCACAATTGAACACTTTGTCACAAGAGGTGGAATAGTGTAGGCTTCCACAGTAAGCACAACGAATTTTAACTTCTTCAGGGCCCTTTGTGACTGAGGCATTTGCACTTGGTGAGATGTTTTGATTGCTGTGTTTAGGATCAATAGGAGGCTTGCGATTCTTGACACCGCTTGATTTCGCTTCCTCGCTTGCTACCCGGGCTTCAATTTCAGACTTTATGGTGTCAAGAAGCTCATCAATTTTCCAAACCTCATTTGTAGACTTGCGTGAGATTTGTAGTTGAACATTGCTGGAAATTTTGGACATAATGAGAAGACTTCCATACTCCTTTGAGGAAACATCCATCAAAGCTAAACCACTAATATGCACATTGATTTTGTCGTAAACATATCATAGTGGACCAAGTCGTCCTCCTTTGAGACAAGGCTAAATCTTCAAAATCTCATCCATGTACACTGATATGATAATCTTAGGTTTGCCATGATGCTCCTGCAGCATTTCAACGGTGGCATCGTAATTTGAATTTGTGAGTGTAAGACCTTGCACAGTCCTTGCGGTGTCTCCTTTGAGTTGAGAATTCAGATAATTGAGCTTGTTGATTGTCAAAATGTCACTGTTTGCACACGTAAACGTGCACACGTGCACACTGATTTTGTCATAAACATATCGTGGTGGACCAAGTCGTCCTCCTTCGACACAAGGCTGAATCTTCAAAATCTCATCCATGTATGCTGATATGATAATCTGAGGTTTGCCATAATGCTCCTGCAGCATTTCAACGGCGGCATCGTAATTTGAACTTGTGAGTGTAAGACCTTGCATGGTCCTCGCGGCATCTCCTTTGAGTAGAGAATTCAGATAATTGAACTTGTGGATTGTCAAAATGTCACTGTTTTTGCGAATTTATGCAGATTTGAAGGGATCCCAGAACGACTGCCATTCGTAGCACCACCTCTAAATTTTGGCAGTGATAACTTTGGACATCATGGTTTCACAGAATTGCTTGTAGTTGTATTGTGTTGATCGAGTTGAATGTGGACTGTGGATGGCGGCAAGAATACCAGTGGTACTTGAGTGTCAATGCTTTTCCTCAATTCTTTGATTTGCCTTTGACAATCAATATCTGTGCTACTATCTCTTCCAATTCTTCGATCTCTTTAGTGATGTTCTCCAGAGGACATAATTAATTTATTTCGACATTTAGTCCATTCGGCCTTTTCAACTTGTTTTCCAGCAAGCTACTGACCACATCGAGACAATTTCACTTTGAGGTGTTGTCCTCTTGTAGCAATAATTAATGAGCTTCCTTTTCGAGTTTGTGGAGGTGCGTTGGACTCATGGTTAGTGTGCTCAACTTCAGATCGGGTGGTCCGAGTTCAAGCCCTGGCTGAGGTCATTGTGTTGTGTTCTTAGGCAAAACACTTTACTCTCACAGTGCTTCTCTTCACCCAGGTGTACAAATGGGTACCAGCAAATGTGCTGGGGATAACCCTGCGATGGTCTAGCATCCCATCCAGGGGGGAGTAGCAATACTCCTATCCACTTCATGCTAAGAAAACTGGAGTTAAGCACTGGCCCCATGGCCCACTTGGGCCAGTATAAAGGCTTTTCGAGTTTGGAGACAACTCCTTTATGAGCTGCTCTGGTAGCCTTGAGCCTTTCGAGTTTCGACATCGATTTCGCTTACGAGTTGGG